ATATATATATATATATATAAATAAACAATTCACACAGACAAGAGACATCAAAATCACGCGAGCTGAATATGTATTTATTATTAAGTTTAATAATTAAAAAGGCGTATAAAAAAATGGCGAGAAAGAAGAAGAAGAAGAAAAAAAAAACACCGAAGAAATGAAAAAAGCACAGATTGACGATGATTATTGAAAAAAAAAAGAAAAAAAATACGGAGCTATTCTGTAGATAAGATAAATGACACGTTGAACGTTCGGGTTTATTATAATGAACGAATATCTTTCGTTCTCGTTTTTAAATATATATATATATATATATATATATAGATCTTATATCTACGAGTTTGTAACGTAATCAAAGGCAATGTAATAAGGATTATGCTTAAAAGATGTTATTGCTGTAATGTAAATAAAATGATTTGTGATGTATCTCCTTCCTTATGTGTATACATTTTTCTATTATTTCTAATGAAATTATATATTTCACGATGGTGTGGTTTGCAGTTTTCATTCGCAATCGGTTTATCGCGCTTTTATGTAATCTCAAATATAAAATAAATAATTTATGAATTATTACAATTTATATATGATATATATATATATAATTAAAAATAAAACTTACATTTAAAAAAAATATATATAAATATATATAATTCAATGGTATTCAAATAAAAATGACGACGTAGTATTATTCGTTAGAGTTATTTATATGTTTTTTTTGTATTTAGGAAATTTTCCTTTTTTTTTTTTTATATTGTGTGACCTATTTCTTAGAGAGAGTATAATCCAACATTATTAATATATATTATTGTTTAATATTATTACATGTGTAATAGAACAACAGTAATGGAGGATGTTGTAGATAAAAGATGATATTTAATTGACAAAAAAATAAAAAATAAAAATTTAGAAAGATAAAAAATTCAAGTATAAATTTATAGAATCTTCAGGAACATGGAGTCCAGCAAGGAATATACAAACGTCAGTATCTCAGCGTCTTCTGCAATGCAAGAAATGTGGTGTTACATGTACCACACAGCACGCACTACTACGACATATAACATCAAAACATGAAAATACGTCAAACGTTGCAGCATATTGTGGGATTTGTCATCGTTTCTTCAAAACTAAATGGAGCAGAGCAACGCATAATAGCAGATATCATAGAAATTAAGAATAATTTGTGGTTGTTTTTTTTTTTTTTTATTATTTAACAAACTTATAATATTTACGAACAACAATTATTTGTTCATTTTATTTTTAATTGTTTTTTTTTTTTTTTTTTTTATTGAAATAAAAAATAAAAGAGACGAAACATCGACTATAAAAAAAGAAAAAAATGTAGAATTTTTAAATATATCATGTAAATTTCATACTTCGTAAGAAGGGATGATGCTGTATTTATCAGTATTAGAAATTCATTCAATTAACTTAGTACATTTTGCATAATATTTTAAAGATATTTGATATAGCTATTTTAGAGATATAATATAATAGATAATACGTAAACATTATTGAAATTAAATATTATTATAAGTCTGTGGTTATTTATTATTCACTATTGTTGTCTTTCCACTATGTGTCGTAGAATTAAAAAATAGAGATATGCACACTACATTGAAATAAGTAAATAATAATAATAATAATAATAATAATAATAATAATTAAAAAAAAAAAAAAGTTAAAAAAAATAATTCAATATATTTAGAAGCTAAGAAGAAATACTTTTTAATAGTCACATTACAAACACATTATTTTATATGATCATCTATTGTTTAATATAATCTTATAATGATTTCTTTATTACTGCTGGCTCTACTCGAAGAAGTACCTTTTTTTTGTGTTTTTATTATATATTTCAAAAAACTAAATTTAAGCGTAACTTTTGTTTAGGTTGACGTATATATGTTATTTCTTACAAGTAAATAGTAGCCTTCCCGCATATTTGCTTTTATTAATTACAAAGTCACATATGAAAAAGAAAAAGTATATTAATTATAAGCCTCCTCTTAATGCAAGTACTAAATGTAGCACCGATCCACCTTGTACTTTATAATCTTGTGCTGTTTTTTCGTCGTTCCTGAAATCACATACACACAAACACACACATAGAAATATATATATATATATATTATATATATGTATATTTTGATTTAATAATAATAATAATTATATATAAATCAAAGAAATATTTGAAATTTTTGTAGAAACAGTATTACTATTGTCTTCATAATAATATAATACATTATTAAAATATAAGTATACGATATATATATATATATATATATATATATATATATATATATATATATATGTATCATTTGTGACTAATATATGTGCCCATAATTATGAAAGTGATCTGAGTCAAAATGAATAAAAAAAAATGAGTTTATCAGTTATTACGCATTACCTTATTATAAAACTAAATAAATTCAAATGTAATTTTCATATTATCAAAAATGAATCGTTAGATAATATTTATTTCAATATTACATAGAGAATTCATATAATGTTCAAATATAAATCTTGAAATATCTCAAAACAAGAGAATATATGACTTAGACCATTTTCATAATTATGGGCACATGTATATTAATGTTTAATAATATCAGTATCATTAACATTGTTCGAATCCTAAATATTAAATCAATATTTGTATTTATATAAGAAATCCTTATTAAAAAAAAAAAAACAAACAAAAACAAAAAAAGATAATTATAATTTGATAAATATACATACATTTGTTTGCCAGAAAATATTAACCGCTGTTGTTGTGGCGGTATTCCTTCCTTTTCTTCCACTCTTTCTTTGATTCTTTCTACTTTGTCAGTAGGTTCTATATCTATTTCAATCTGCACAATTTACAAATATTATAAACCGTTTATTATAATATTCGTAAGAAATAATTCATATGTAAAATATTGTATATTTTTTAAATAGAGCAAACACTTTTTCATTTACACCTTGTTTTTTTTTCATTTTTTTTTTTTTCTTTTAAACTCTTTTACTAAACGTCCAATTCTTTTCAACTTGATAAACATACTAACTTATAATATTACTAGTTTTTTTGTTTAATATAGAGAGATATAATATACCATTGAATATTAATATGATCTCATGTTGATATAAAAATACTTGCCTCTTTGCCCGTAAGTGTCTGAAACAAAATAATAAAATGAAAATTGAATTGACATAATAATAATATAACTCTTTATAGGTTAATAAAGATATTATTGAATTCTGTCAACGTATATTTCTTACCTTCACTTTGATCAACATATTTGTTTATTACTGTAAATATAATATTTCTTGATATTTAAATTAATGTTATTTATTAATTAATCGTATAACTTGCCGGTATAGATTTATCACTACTGATATATTACTTAAAATCGGTTCTTGGTTAATAATTATTAAATATTAACTCTACTATCGTTTGTAACTCCATCTGACGGTTAACAGTAACCTAAATGAAAAGGTGCATTTTCAAAGTTAATCAATGATATTCAGAAACGTTTAAATGGACAAAATATAAATAAAGGTAATGTTACGTTTATTTACCGATTAAACTATTGTTTATTTAAGTTTAATAATTGACCTTATATTTATTATAAATATATATATATATATATGTAATATTTAATTTGTTTAATACAAAAATAGTATATTGATTAACGATTCACTTTTATCAACACAGTGTAGCCAACAGTCAAACTTTTAACCTAACCTATACCATTTTACCAACCTATACATATAAAATACTTTTGATTGAACTGTCATATATATATTTGGTATATATTGAATGATTCTATCAATAGGTTATATGTACGCATCTTTTTTAGCACATGTATCAAACAACTTTGAGGTTATAGGTTAGGTTTATAGGTTATGACTGTAATGGTGTTTACATATATGCTTGTTTAAAACTGAATGAAAATTGTTCTCAATTATGAATTAATAAATTTAGTTAATTTTAATTGTTTTGTATTATTACTTGTTATTTATATTTGTGTATCCTCAAGTAGCAGTTTTATTTTCAGTTAACATTTCAATTTGAATAAAAGAGTATAATTTGAAAAAAAAAAGAAATGGAAGTTAAAGTCAATGATGTAGTTATGCCAGGTGATATTGTTAAAGATATTAAAAGTGATACAAAAGAAAAAATAGTATTGGGACCAGGACTACGACGTGAAGCTGATACTATTTACATTTGTAAAGCTGGTACTTTAAAAAAACGTGCTCCTGCCATTTATTATGTAGACAATTATCAAAAACGGTTAGATTTTATTAATATTTAATCTTATTTGATATATTTCAATTTTTATTTAACGTATATTTTTTGTTTTTATAGTTATGTACCTAATCGAAGAGAAATGGTTATCGGTATTGTTACCCAAAAAGTAGGAGACATATATAAAGTAGATATAGGTTCTAAAGAAAGTGCATCTCTATCCTATTTGGCTTTCGAAGGTGCTACCAAGAAAAACCGTCCAGATATACAAATTGGAGATGCTGTGTTTGCTAAATTACTCGTAGCTATTAAAGATATGGAACCAGAACTTGTATGCGTTGATTCAGAAGGAAAAGAAAAAAAGTTAGGTGTATTGAGTTCTGATGGTATGATATTTAACTGTTCCTTAAATCTCGTAAGGAAATTGCTCAATCCAGATTGTATGTTACTTAAATTTCTTGGTAAAAGTCAACCGTACGAAGTTGCCATTGGTATGAATGGTAGAATATGGGTTAAAACTAAATCAATCCATCAAACCATTGCTATCGCTAATGCTATTTTAGTGGCTGAATATACGCCCATTAATAAGATGCGACAATTATGCAAATCTATTGAAAAAACATTACTTACGTAGGATTACATTTAAATAATTATCACATGATTAAATAAATATAACGTCTAAGTACACAATAATTATGAATGATTATTTATTGTATAATTGTTTATGATTTTTATAAATAAAGTAGCATGACTTTTATAGTGATTATAAATGACAACCATCATCACAAAATGTTTAATGGAAACTACAAATAGTTGATGTAATTCCAAGTTAAAATACATTATATTCGTATATTTAAATATATATATATATATACATATATATATATTTAAATACAGAAAATGTGAGATTAACTTATAATTCATAAAATAATATTTTATTTTATTTTTTTAAAAAGAAACAGGATATGGGCGATTAAAACCCTGTCTTATTATTATGTGCTTTTTAACTCCGATTGCAATTGTATATCTTGCGCAGCTAAAATATTTGTCCTAATTTGTTATTTACCAAAACATTATTAATTACATTCAATATGTATAAAAACTTGAAAATTTACTACGCGTAAAGAATAACTTATGTTTGCAAGGCCCAGCGCTTTTTTTTTTCTTTTTTTTTTTTTTTATTACTAAATGCACATTGATATTATTATTTGTCATTATTTTCTTTAGCTTATTAACTTCAGGATTTGTATTATTTCTGTGTTTATTTTTAATTATTCCAGGATAAATTATAATCTAGTTTCTTCTTCTTCATCTTCTTCTTCATTTTATTATTATTATTATTTTAATTATTATTATTATTAGTAGTAGTAGTATTATTATTATTATTATTATCATCATCATCATATAATACACGGTGTATTGCTAATAATTGCAATCAGTAAAAATCTAAATGCCAGTGGTGAATAAGAATGTTTCTTCTTGTGTTTTTTTTTTTTTTCTCTCTGATATGTGCCTAATGTTTGTTCTCTGACTTACTGCAGTGAAATTACTATATTCTAATTTTTAATGATAGTATTAGACACTCAAGCACAACCTTTACTTTCTCTCCACATTTCGTTTTGTATAAATACTTAAATAATATTCAAATTATGATAGAGAAATATTCGACTTCCATATATATTGATCAATAAAACTAATTATAGAAGACATTTTTGTACTTGATGGAATGTGCAATATACACTATTTTAATGTTTAACTAAATAAATCTATTAGATAATCATTGGTTAAATATTATTACATGAATCAATTGTTAATCAAATAATTCAATTATTATTGTTTTTGACCTGTACTTTTTATAAATTGTATCAAAATCACACATTTACTGTAACGTGGTAATATTATAAAAAGACCAATGATTTTCCAATATTTCAATTATCATATAACAAATAAAAAATATCTACTTAATTATCTACTTAAAAAGCAATATTACAATGAATATTATTCTAAATGGAACATTTCATATTATAACTAATTAATTTAGTCAAATAAAATAATAATATAATGACAAAACAAATAGGTACACAGAGTATAATTCTAATAATTGATAATACGATTAATGTATCATAATACATTTAAATAAGATCTATTATATCAAATATTGATTTATCTCGTTATACGTTAATTAGTTATAAACGAAATAAAGAAAAATACAAAAAGTGAAACAATAACAAATTAACAATTATTAAACGAGCATCCTAATTGGAATTATTTATCACATTATTTGAAATAATAAATCATTTGAATGAAAATATTTCTTCTTCTTCTTCTTCTTCTTTTTGTTTTTTTATTATCGTGCTTTGGCCTATTTTTATTATGTTATTTTTAATGATAGTTATCTATTTTTCATCACCACTTAATGAAAGCATGTAAAAATTAATATTGATATATCAATACATGATACGTTTGATGAAAAGCATTTGTGATTTTTACAAAATGATGATGAGTCCGTCATTAGTGCTGTCTTCTGTTCATTTCGTGTTGTTATTAAATTTGGAAAAATATTCATGAAGACTCATTTTTATCGAAATATGAAAAACGTGATATTGACAGTGTATATTTTGTATTTCTATTTGTTATTTATTCTTCTTTTAATAAAGTACTCAATAAAATAGTACTCTGGTTATGCACATGAAAGGCATTATTTTTATACTTTGTTAATAACACGTTTTGTGACAATAGGCCTTTACATTATAAGATCTAAACGTCAATATTGAATGTAAAGAATTTGAAAGATATTTTGTTAAAATCACAAATCAGCTTTCATTCATCTGTGGTATGTCATAGGCAATATGTATGTTAGGGACGATTTATGGTGCCATTAACCACCATTATTATTATTATTATTATATGGTACTGTGCCTTATCTTATACTTTTTTTTCACAGGATTGTATTATAGTCTCACCAATATAAAAATACCATATAACTAACTCGGTAAGAGTGCCCAAATTTAATGCTATTTTCACATTCTATTTTTTTTTTTTTGGTTCTTTTCTTCTTTTTTTAACTACTTCGCAAGAAATACAATCAGTATATCGAATAATGTTTGAAAGAATATCATAAATGTTCAATCATCAATCTTAATGATTACGTATATGAAATAATTGCATTATGTGCAATTCCAAATTGTGTGTTTTTTTTTTTTAATACAATCCTGTTAACGAATTAATCATTATAAGAATAATTCTTATTATTATATTTAACATTGCGAGTGATATTTGTATTACATTGTTTTTTTGTTTTTTCAGGCTTTGGTATATTATTAGTGATTTTTTTACTGATCAATCGAACAATCCTCGACTGTTTTTCTTTTTTTTTTTTCTTCTCAGATAGCAGCTTTGGTAAATATTATTAGACATTTAATGTATAATGCGTGTTTTTTTTTTATGTTTTTTTTTTTCTTCTTTTTTTCTAATATGATATATTTTCATGAAAATGACTACTAAATTTGATGATTAACTTATTGTTATAATTATTTAAAAACCTGAAATGCCGTACCACAGAACTATAGTTATTTTTTTTTTTTTTTTTGAAAGACCGTCGAAAGCATAACTAAAACTTAATTAAAAGATAATAATATCTTTTTTTTAACAATACATTTAACAAATATATCTCTCTCTCTTTTCATTTTATAAATAAAATAATAATGATATACAATAAATGTCTTATTTTGTTGTTGTTGTTATCAAATTAAATAAAAATTACTCTCAAAACGTAATACAATCTAAATTTCTTTAATAAACAAGAGAAATTGTCTTGCATTAAAGACACGCGTTTGTAAATGTTCATTATTTAGTAACATTTCAAATAAAATCTAATATATCCCCTGTTGATTATAGGGATTTAAATATAAATCTTGAAAAAAAAAACAAAAAAAAACAAAAAAAAAATCAAGAAGAAGGAACATTATGTACTACCATTATGAGTTATGCCAAACAGCAAATATGTTTTTTTTTAAACTGCCGTTGAAGCTCAAAATTGCACCATAAAATTGTGTGTATGTCGTCTACGTGAATAAAGTAGATAAATATTATATATCATTGCATTTTAGCATAATTATAATTTACATATAAAAAATTGTCTTTGCTTAATAGCTAAAATATTATTATGATGCCTTAGCTATATAAACATATATATATATATTTATGTTTATTATTCTGGTATTATTATATTATTCTTATGTATTTGTTTATTAGTGTGTATATATGTGTATATATATATTTATATGTATTTATATATATATATACCATTCACAACACAGAGTGCATAGTACGAAGCCATATTAGATCTGTTAATCCCCATTGCGTGATATATTTGATACATTATTTTGGATTACATTGAAAAGGGAAAAACAGATCATTAAGCTTCAATGTAACAACGCACAACCAAGTTTTTTCTTTTTTTTTTTTTCTTTTTTTTTTTTTTTATACAACCTTTATGCACCAAATTATCTTACTT